TCCTGCACACCCCCCACTGGGGATGTGCCCGCAACCAAGGTACACGCCCCCGACCAGAATCGAACCTGGGACCCTTTAGTTCGCAGGCCAATGCTCTATCCACTGAGCCCAACCGGTCAGGGCGAAAGCCTTGCTCTTAACCATCATGTAGGTACTGCCTCCCACAGGTGGGGTTAGAGGGAGGAAGATAACTCAATTTTCTCGTATAGGTAACTGAGGAAGCCGAGATAGACGTTGCAGGAGGAGAAGCAAGTTGTGAAAAGGATGCGTTCAGTTTTGGACTCTAGTCTGTGCTGTCAGAAAGAGCAAGTTAGGGGGACTACGAATGAGTACATCTCTCTGCACCCCCTCCTGAACTACACTTTGGCCTTGGAGCACTCAGAGTTCTGCTGTCTGACTCCCTACTCCTGTTCTCCAGGGAGACTGTGGTAGGCTCTCCTGAGAGGAAGCCCACACCTTGGATCATATTCTGCTGGGAGATTTGGCGAAGGGCCTGTGGAAGTCAAAGACTGTGGCTGGCAGGTTTGTTGCTTCTGATGAAGGGGCAGGTGTTAATGAAAAAGGGAGTTAGGAGCCCAGCCCTTTTGCAACATGACAAACAATAGCAAGAATCTGATCCGCTGGGCTCATGTGGGCCACACCCCCTCAGTCCAAACTACACTGTCTACGCAATGGACAATCTGGAGGCTTCAGGGTCATCAAGCAAAAATTTCCAGGTGTGCCCTAACTCCAAAAGGGCCTGAGGTTACAGGTGAGAGATTAGTATGATTGTTATCGCTGTGATTGTTGTGAAGTTGGTGATGGGGACTGTGGGAGGTCCACAAAGACATCTTTGATTATCAGTGCATCATCACTCTGGTGGGAGGCTCTTGCATGTGCGTGGGCTCCTGTGAGTGGGTTGAGAGAGTGGCAGACGCTCTGTTCTCTAAGGGTCGGGAATAAGCATCACTTTGTTCCTCAGAAACAGGACAGTACTTTTCTTCTCACCTATTCGAAAAAACAGGGCCTATCAACATCAAAGAAAACCCAAGAACTTAAGCACTTCTGGCAAGGAGGTTGGAACTAAGTGTTCTTATGACACCAGCAAGGAGGAAACCAGATTGTAATATCTCTTTCTTCCCATCCATCCAACCCCCATAGCACAGGGGCTCCTCAAAGTCAGGGGACATTTCCTCCTCCCAGTCGGGGCCTTTATCTAGAAACCAACCCAGCCTCTTCTCACCTTTGGGCTGTCCTTGGCCTCAGGCATGAAGAAACCTTGCCTGTTGCCCTGCTCATCTTCCAGATCCTGTCTGTCCTCCACAGCAATCAGAGAATCATAGCTAGCCTGTTCCTTCTATTGCCTCTGCTCCCCCCCCCCCCAAGAAGGGTTCACTGGGACCAGGGATAATCAAGAAGAATTGCTCACCCAAGGACCAGGTGGACCTCTTATTCTGTAAGTGTTACAGCTCATGACTGGATGAGGCTGAGACCAAGGGAAGGGGGGAATGGCTGAAGGTGGTTGACCAGCTGGGTGATCTGGGGTGTCTCCTCTCTCATGGGCATGAGGTCTAGGGCTGGATGATCTCTGAGGTACACTCCAGCTCTTAGATTTAGGGGAAGGCACACAGGGAAGGCTGGGTACATGCTGGAGGCTCCAGGAAGGGGCAGACAGCCACTCCAGGCCCACCTCTGATTCCAACCACCTTAACTCTACCAGCAGGAAGAATGGCACCAGCTGTGGCCTGGCTCCTGTTCCTCCAGCTTGTTCAAGGACCAACTCTGGTCATGGACATCAGCATAGAGGTTGCCATCCAGAACTTTCGAACCATGCACATTGACTATCCCAAGGTTAACTACCCAGAGGGTTTCCAGGGCTACTGTAATGGTCTGATGGCCTATGTGAGGGGCAGACAACAAAGCTGGTATTGCCCAAAGAGGCATTATGTGATACATGCTCCCTGGACGGACATTGAGAAGTCCTGCAAGTACTGCGAGAGCTTCTGTGAGAATTACAATGAATACTGTACACTCTCTGAGGACTCCTTTCCCCTCACAATCTGCTCTCTGGAGACCAAACAGCCACCCACCAGCTGCCGCTACAATAGCACCCTAAACAACCAAAGGCTCTACCTGCTCTGTTCCCAAAAGTATGATGCTAAACCAATAGGTATCATTGGCCTCTACTAGGGAAGGGAGGCTTTCACTGTGAACCACCCTCTACTGCCATCATGACCAGCCGGTCCCCCTTTTCAAAACTCTGATTCCTGATACAATGCTTCCCCCTGACTTTGAAGGTAGGCAGGGTTCCCTCCAAAGAGACCAGGGAGGTAGAAAAAATGTTCAGAGCTTTAGTCACCATGCAAAAGCATACCGTCTTTTAGGCTCTTTCCAGCTTGTTTACCTCTCCTCTTCCGCATCATCCGCCCTCTCCCAGAGACAGTTTTACCCACCCAAGAAGCCTAGTGTGTCCAGTTGGCAGTGCCTGTCCATCCACTGGGCCAGATACTGAATCCTGGATGGAGGCCCAGAGCCTCAGCTCACACCATGGCAACAGGCACCAGCTCGATGTTTCGACTCCCTATCCCCACCACCCTTCTCTTTTCAGTCTTCCCCATTTCCCTATGACTCTCTCCACTCACCCACATAATGGATATCCTAGCTTTAGGGACCTCCCTGAGACCTTCAGGTGAATTTTAGCCTCATATCCCTAGAACCCCCTCGCAGTTCCCTGTCTGCTCCTCTCCATGAAATCATTTTCTTCATGTAACCTGTTCTTTCCTCTCTCCTTCTACCATGGAACCCAGTGTCTCTCCCCTACACTCCCAGCCTCCTTTAGTCACCCTGTCTTCTCCAACTTCTTTTCCACAATGCTCACCTTGGCTCACTGAAGTTTAAAGTTATTTTTTCTGGCCTATCCCCGCTCCTCCCAAGATTCTTGCATCCTGTTCCCAAAGCTCCTCCTGATGTTCTCTAGACTCTAAGATCTGCTGCTGACAAAATAGGTGAGGTGGGCCTAGATGTAGTCACAGGAGGTTTTAAAGCTACATCTGAGTTGTGTAAGCTGGAACCATTGGATGGAACCGGTTAAAGTGTACATGGGACCTCTCTGCACTACTATTGCATCTTCCTGTGAATCCATAATCATTTTAAAATAAAAAAGATAAAAAACACATCTGACTCAGTTCTGATTTCGTTCCTTTTTTCTTAGTGCATTAAAACGACCACTCTGGCCATCTTCCTGGGCTACCTTTAGCTGTCAGTAGGATCTTCTGTTCCAGGTGAACCATGATGGAGGCGTGGAGGGGTAAAACTCACTTCCAGCTGAGTAATGAAAATGGATTCTCCCTTCCCCTAGCTCTGGAACAAACTCATAATAGCAGTCAGACTAAGTAGATCCTTGGCCCACCCTAGCTGGCTTCTGTTTCTCCCCACAATGAAATGTGGATTGCAGCAGATCAGGAAGGTGGAAGGACAGAGGTCTGGTTGGTGATATCTGGGTCATTCTACATCAAATCAGGAAGTTCTATTCCCCTTTGGCAGGTAGAGGAGGTTGAATGTCAGTGGTGTGTGAATGCAAGTAGAGAATACTTTATCTCCACATCTGGTTCATCTCTTATCTCCGAATATACTCCTCAGACCTGATCTTAGAAGCAGTTATTGAGGAGAATGCTAACTCTGGCTCGGGGCATCAGGCTAAGTAGGGAAAAAGCTGGAGATTTGGAAACCCTGACTCCTTGGGCTTTCTCTTCTTGCGTGTCTGTCTGTCTGTCTGTCTCTCTCTCTCTCTCTTTCTCTCCCCCCCCCCGG